GGAGACAACCGTCATAGATCACGCTGTAGGTACTTGCGTCTTTGTTACGCGTTTTTCTTTAATAATCAACAATTTATTGAGTATTAACGTTTTACGTTGTACCAGATTTCGAAGCGAGATTTTTTAAATGTATATTCGGTATAATATACCGTTTTAGGAAGAGCAACACTTCCGTGTTAGGTCATGGAAGACTAGTATTCAGATTTATGCGCTAAATCAAATTAATTATTATTTATTCTTTAGTGTTCATATTTTGTTATTGATTATGCTACCGGGTGGATCATTTCTGAGGTTATTTACGTCAGTGTTTTGATGAAATAAGACATTTGATAATTAATTAATATTATTTGAGTTTAACGATTCATTGTTATATTTTAGCGAGTATACAGCTAATATTTATGAGGTCAATAAGATATGTAATATCAATTGGTAATTACCTAAAACTGCAGCAGAGACCACACATAGAATTAATAAAAGAGACTACTACTAAAACTAAGTTTAAACTCTAAATTGATAACACGAATGGACATTTTTCAATGATACCTAACTCCAACTAGTATATACCCTTAACAGCTAACCTCTGTTAAAAACCAACCGCATTGAATGAAATCTTTTTCAATGTACAGCATGTCTCTTTAATTAACCACACCGACGATTCAGAAAAAATCTACAATGAACAAATGAACTGGAAATGTACCCAATTGATTAACAGTGCACTATCTAGAGAATCGGTGATGTGAGTGCAAAAAGTCTATGAATTGTGGATTATGATTTACTGACTTAAATGATCTCGGTGGTCGTGTGGAGACGAGTGCTAATTGCAGCGAAGAGTCTGGTGTTGTGTCCCTAGATTGAAAAAGTATTGTTGGTAATTAAATTAGTACCTGTACATATACTTTCATGCACACTTTTTTTTAAGCGAGGAAAATTATGTAGTGACTTCTCCCGCCTGGGTGAGGCGGGAGGGAGTGTCAGACTCTTACTGACTAAAAACCACCCCGTTCCTACTCCTGCACTTCGAGACGGAGCCCCGGTAACCCGTTAGGTTCTTCGCGGCTCCGTATCGGCATCACATATACACTAAAGCTCATGTCTGTCTCACATGGCGGTAGCCACAGACTATGGATCACCAATTGCTACGATTGTTACATACCTCTATCGCTTCATTAATAGTTATCGGTCTTTTCATGCATGCTCGTCGTCGTAATAAGAAGGGCCAAATTAGAAGTACTCTTAGCCGACGAGCATATTATAAACTTACAGTTTTGAAATATGAGTTTCTGGTAATGATTGAAATTTAAGTGTATAGAACTGGGATTAGCTTTTAATTCTGAAGAAAAGCGAAAACTATCAATTCGTCCCAATTTTTGGAACTGCATTAATTGTAAAAATCAGTGTACTGATATGTTATTCTAGTTTTAAACCGAAATAACAAACAAACGGGAAAATAACTTGCTATACACAACTGAGATTAAAGTGTTGTATAAACTGCAAAAAATCATCAAAGTTCCTATGAATATGCATCAGTTAGACTGCTAATGACCTTACGTCTCTCGACCTACAACAACAATATCTATACATACCAGTTTATCAAATATTTGACTTATTCAATTTTTTCTCTATACTATAACATTAAAAGAGACGGTCATATGTATTTCGAGTGGCTTTGCTTTGCTTCCATGATGCCATCGGTTCAAGTTTTATACAAATAGTTTTTAATTCAAGTCATCATCTTTGATCAACAGCCCATGAGAGTCCACCACTGTACTAGGTCTTCTCTACGAAAGATGTTTTACCATTGCCTACATGCAGAGGTTTAAAAGAGGACACTGCTGTCCAGTAAGTGTTAAACATGTAGTCCTTTTTTTAAGGGAGAAAAATCATCGAATGGCTTCTCTCGCTTTGGTGAGGCGGGAGGGAGTGTAAAAACCACCCCGTTCCTACTTCTGATCTTCAAGCTGGAGCCTCAGCAAGCGAATACGTTCTCTGGTGCCATGTATCGGTATCAGCACTATTGGGCCCCATCTGTGGTGATCTGATGGCTCTTTGAGGCGCGCGCGGAATGCGACACGCCGTTCGCTCGGGTCTGGTTCTGAGGCATTAGTACGAGTTTGTTTTACGTTTAAAGTAATTGTAACGAGTACGCGTTCTGCGCTCTGATTGGCCGGCACCAATAAACCAACCAATCACAGCGCCGAACGCGTTCGAATACTTTAAACGTAAAACAAACTCGTACTAAGGCCTCTGGTCGGAGAGCGAGTTACCCATGCTCGCCGATGTAGTCCCTTTGTCGGCTCATATGACACCCGCGGGAAGAATAGAGGTGATGATAAATATTTTCTACTTTTCCGTACGGCTAAAATATAATAAATATATTCTACGAATCTCGAGTGTCATTTCTTTACCTGAATGATGGCACCGGTTCAAGTTCTGAGCAAATAGTTTTTGTTTCAAGTACAACTGAGTTATGTTTACTTTTCTGATATTCTTAAATCTGATCAAAGTAATGATAGGTGATTTTGTGAGTTAAGTAGTTGTTCGCGCTTCTGTGAGCAAGGTTCTGCTGGAGATTTGCGTTTAAAAGTAGTGAAATTATTATACATAAATGATTTGGACTTGATTTATATTTTTGTTTATGATTATTTTTATATAGAAATGTGCGTACTATTCAGTCGGCGTATTCAGTACTTATCTTATTTTCAATATATAAGGTAGACGAGTTAGTAAAACTCAGTGTTCAATAAGTATATCTATTGAAAACTGGGTTTTTTATCAAATAATGCAAGATGGTAACTAATTATGCGCTAAGTACTTTTGTTGCTTATTTCAATTCAGCAAGTCACTTCGTATTAAATACTGGTTTTGTAAACCTTTTCAGGTCCTTCAAGTTAATAATAAATTACATTATTATGCATGTATTACGTCACCAAACATGCGAGTTTAAGAACTATAATCTGTAAAGCTGCAATTATTATATTTTCGGTACAAAAACTAAGTAGGTAGTTATTAAGTGTGAATCTTGAATAGCTAAGTACTATTTATAATGATTTATATTATTGAATATTACTAGAGGTTAGTGTTATGCAATGTTAATAGCCGGTGATTAAAAAAAAAATGTTAGATGGTTTCTTAAAACTAAGCTCCATCTTCATCATATCGACTCTCCATAGCTCAACGTGAAGCGGATTCGATTCTCACACGGAACAACTCTTTGTGTGATTTACAAACCGTTGTTTCAGGTCTGAGTGTCATGTGAACTTGTAGGTTTGTAAACGCACCCACAACACAGGAGACAATATCCTCCCTTCCGTTGGGTAAAAAGGCAAGAGGGGGCAACGTTTTAAAAAAATCAACCACAAACTATCTATTGGAGAGTATAATAGACCAGTCGATTAAAGTCATCGGACCCCCAATGACTTTGTTTTGGCAAGGTCCTAATTATTGTAAAGCGTGTTTAGTTTACTTCTGTGACTTTAGTACATTAAACTAATCTGTTTTAAAAACTCTGGCTAAATAGTGGGGTTGAATAACACTCTGAATTCAGAAATGAAAGTAAGTGTAAGTAATGGTCTAAGCTCTAACCATTACTGAGAGGGGTATTATAGATACCATTACAGAAATTACGGAATTGTGCCCGGTATATGGCAATAGGCTCACCCCCTATTACATGGGACTCATAACATAAATTGTGAAAAGTGGGTGTTGCATTGTACAGTGGCATTAAGTGTCATAATGTGCACGCCCTTTCGGGGATAAAAGATGTTATGTATGTCATGAATAATCTCATACCTTTAAACCCAGTGAAACATAAATATCTAATTGATGTTACTGACCGTTATTACTTTAATAACTCTAATTACAATTACTAATGTGTTTATTTAGTGCCACCTTTAATATTTTAGTGTCTAATTACGTATGTTTAATCACGTATGTGTCTGATTTTGAAATAGTGTGGGTGTGGGTACGGGTAGGGTGGAATCATAGACTAGCCGTGTCATGTAAGAGATCTTTATTTGAGAGACATTATACAGAACAATTTGGTAAAAAGTTGCATCAATAAAAAGTACATCATCATCATCAGTTAGAAGACGTTCAAAGGCCTACTGTTTTATCAGTATCTCTCTAATGCAGCCAAACATACGAAAATTTTAGTGTATGACACCTGGGTGTAATTTGTAGAAAACCCAAATATTTATGCTATATGACTAATTTATTTACACCTGAAATTGTCTACTTAACTCCAGCTTGCGTTGAGTGGTTGTGTGAACGATTTAATATCTCATCAAGTAATAGTTATGTTAGTCACATCTATTCCTTTATAACCTCGAAATTATATTTCAAACGGTAACTTGTGAATGCATGAGTTACATTTTTGTAAAATAGCTGACATTTTGTCTATTTTTTGTATTGCAAATATTATAATTATGAATTGATGGATAATAGCCACACCTTGCTGTATTTGCATTTGAATATAAATAATAGTGATTGCATAATCTAATAATTATTTCGTCTGTTAAGTTTACTAGGGGTGTAATAAGTAAAACGTTCTTAGTACGCCGGTAATACTAGTAAATTGGGAATATTAATAATAAGTAAAGAAAATCCAAAACCGAGTGCATGAATAGTTTATTTTGTACGTCTCCGTGGAATGTATTCATTACAAACATTTGTTTATGAAATAAAAAAAACACTCTACCTATATTTATATTTACAAAAAACACGTTTGTCAAAGTATTACATTTGAGTATGAATGTGTCGATAATTTCACTACGTTGAGTAAATGGAAATGTTTAGGAGATTACAACAACAACATTGAGCAAAATTAGGAATGTTCGTGTAACAATCGAGTATATCCTTGGCTCTTACCATCTCTTTCTCTAGTATTTTATAGAAATGAAAAGAGAAATAAAGACTTTACATAAATATTATCAACACTGTCAATATATTAATCAAAAAGAGATAATAAGAGTATTTGTATGAACGTAACAGTACAGTCGACAGTCGTGATTATATAATAGAACTTAGCTACCGATAGAAATACGAAGACTTAGGAATATAAAAAGGATTCACAATGCACCCGAAGTAACACATTACAACCTCAAACAACACTTCGAAATTCTACTAGAAATAAATTATATTCAAACATTTATACAAAAATATGTACGATTCTGAATGGAATGCTGCAACACCCGGCTGTCTCCATTTCCAAAAACATAATCATTATCTACAGTAACCTAACTTACATTGTCAAAGAATAATTTATTTATTTACATTCGTTTTGTACATAACCTCAAACCGGGCTCGTTAAGTACCAATAACATTGTATTCACTAAACATTACTTATTATACGTATTTGGATAGACTCTTTCAAGCGATAACAAATCAAACAAATGACTGTTTGAGCTTAAACAAAAATCACATTCCTCTATACTGGCCTTTGATTCTTTCACTGACGTTTAATACAGTCTATATAAGGGCACTAGGTGACGCGGCGTCTCACGTCAGACTTTGGTGGTGAGGTCCAGAGGGTGCAGCTTGATCCTCTTTATTTGTGAATATGACACGTCCTCCTCCTCGCTCGCGGACGCCGCTGCGCTGCCTGACTCTCCGTCCTCATTGTCTGGCACTATCACTTCACTATCGTCAGATCTCCGACGCGCAGAACTCGACCTGCCGTCAGATTTCACAGACAAGTCCATAGGATTTTCCTGAAACGGAGATTCTGAGGTTCTCCTTTCAGCCGGCGGTGTGGGAACGAACTCAGCTTCAGAGATAACCTCTTCCTGAGGAGTCGGTTGTGTAGACCGTTGCTGTTTTAAGATCTCGTCTAGGAAGAACCGTTTCGACGACTCTGTCCGCTCATTGTGGTCGTCGACTCTGACGTCATTGTTATTCTCAGCAGCTTGTCTTAGCGCTGCCTGGTCTAGGAGGTGTCGTGAGTATAAGGGGTGGAAGCCTGGCGGGAACAACAGAGGGTGGTTGTGGGCGAACGGGCTGAACGGCGGCGGTGGTAAGAAGGGCGAGTGGGGGAAGTGGGGCAAGGAGGCGATGTTGGCGAGGTGGAGTGGAACAAAGCTATCTCGAGGCGGTGTCAGCGGTCTTTCTGGCGGCCGCGACTGTGTCAGTCGAGATTTCTCATCTAATTTTGGCGATGACCCACTTTTGTGTGAGTCTGGAGATGCCGAGCATGGAGGCTTGTAGTCGTCTAAGCCGAGGAGAGCCAGTTCTTCCTTAGTTCTTGGTCTAGCGAGCGCTGGGAACAGATGAGGTGGGAATGGAGGAGCAAGCGGGTGGGGGGAGGGCGGCACTCTCGGAGGAGACTGCGACTGTGCAGCTTGCTGTTGCTCTTGTAAGAGGCAGTGGATCTTGAACCAGTTGGAGCGGCGGCCATAGCGGGAGCCAGACTTGGACATGCCGACCATCAGACACTTGCGCAGTCGACACGCTTTGCACGCTGTCCGGTTCTTCTTGTTGATGACACATTCTCCGTTGTTCTTGCACTCCGTGATGGAGTTCAGGTTGTTGTAGGAGCGGCCGAAGAATGACTGGAAAGAGAGAAACATAATGTTAATTGTTGCGAAACTTGAAATGACATTAACACTTTTGTGGCTTTTGTAGAACGATTAGTGAGAACAGATAAGTTTTTAGCAGACAGATGCGATATAACACCTCAGATATCTGGTTAAAACGATGATGTATACAACTGAAGATTCTATAGAGCTATTTGTTGTAATAGCCGAGACGTATGATCGGTTAGGCAACGCCTCCTAAAGCTGGTATTCTAGCACTAATCATAGGCCCTTGTAATGAAGCAACACATCTCGCACTGCCAACATAATAATTAACAGTAAATAACTGGCGATTGTTTGTCACACTTAATTAATCGACCGTAAATATCTGTCAACTTGAAAAGCAATTGCTTCATTTAATTAAATTTAATCAAGAGAACGAGTAGCTCCTGGTTACTTGCATATGCATGCTCAATTGAATACGTATAATTGATATGATGGTCAGAAATTATAGTGTGTGTGACGAATAAAATGGAAAATGAGAGGTCGGGGGTTGGTGCTAGCTTAGCTCGCTAATTAAATAGACAGAGTTATTAACATCGCCGTATAAAGATTGTTATTGATCGGTTGAGGTGGGTAATGCAGGGAACTATGTAATGTTGGTTTATAAAATCAATTTGTTACTACATACTCAAGTTTGAACTGGTCCGTTTAATGCAATATTTATTTTGTAATTTGCTTCGATGGTCGAGTGGTCGCAACTGCGACTGCCGGGCAAGGGGTCTCGGGTTCAATTCCCAGCTCGGGCAATGTGTTACTGAGTTTTCAAAAAAAAAAATCAGTAGTAGCACCTGGCATTGTGTCCGGTATATGGCAATAGGCTCGCCTCTATTACATAGGACTCATAACATACATAGTGAAGAGTGATTGTTCCATTGTACAGTGGCATTAAGTGCCGTAATGTGCTCCTTTGCCTACCCCTTCGGGGATAAAAGGCGTGATGTTATGTTATATTATTTTGTAATCTTAGGCTGTTTTTTTCTCTATGCAGTTTCACATAAAATTGTATTTTCTAAAAAGATGACGTCTCTAAAAAGGTCAGAAGTGGGATGGTTAGAAACTCGTCGCGTCACGATTGAACGAAGCAGACAAGTTTAGCCTGTGGAGGGAACGCCTTTAACTGGAGAAGACATACAACTTCATTATTTATGCAAATAATAATAAAGCTGCTTGCTTCCTTAGACGGAAGTACGACCACTGTAGGTTTCATTAATTTTCAAAAACGTTTTTTCATGGAATAGGAGGCAAATGAGCAGACGCGTCACCTGATGATAAGCGATCAGCGCTGCCCATAGACACCCGCATGAAAACATGAGTGAAGCTTATGAAATGTGTTTGCAAAGGGCGTGAATATATTTTTTTTGTCATATGTAACTCCTTTAAGTAGTTTTTCACAAGAAATTATGCGATTTAGCAACAAAACAGTTCAACAAGACTCACTATCAGGACAAACGTACGTGTATTTGACCTAAAGAAGGTGTTACACGGGCGGCTGGCACCCGCCCGACCGGGTAACTCCGATAGTGAAAACATTGCCTTACTAATGTCGTGTTCACGGATTAAGACGTCACTTCCCGTGGATATGGGCCGCGGGTTCGGTTCCGGTCTGTTACACGCGTTTAACTATGGTTTTGTTTTCATTTGACCTTGATTATTCGGTTTTCTTACGTAAGGTTGTGGCCTATTGTTTTGGTTTTTTCTAGATGAGTATTAGATTGCTAAGATTGTAAAGTGAGCGATTGGATTTAAGATTGCAAACTGTATAATGTGCTAGAACTAGTTGTTGATAGAATGGTATTCATGTTTTATGACCGTCGTCGGTAACAATGTAAAATCTGTACATTGTTCAGTTTTACTGTTCATATATATCCATGGTAAAGAAAAACCTTTGCTTCTTAGGAAAGTGCATTAAATTTTAACCGTTCATGTAGTCCATAGTTAGACCTAGAATTAACAGACTACCTATTAGGTGACCAAACTGAAAAATGTAATTTAGTATAAATCTCCTTTCAATTTTTCCTCCACAATTAATAACGGATTCAGGTTTCTATTACTCATTTTCTAATAACATACCACACTTATATATAAAACTGCACATATAGTATATAAGTAAGTACATAGTAACATGAAAAACGAGTGTTAACTAAACACACACATAACACGCGTTAACATTACCAAAATGGTTGCAAAACGCCGCATCGTCGCATGAATGACAATCAACGAGCTACCAGATACTGACACCATGCAGTTTTTATTTGGGAGACAGTCCTGATATCTGTATTGTAATTTTCGTGAGACATATGAATATGAGCCTCTAGCATGTCTTGAAACTAGTCGAGTTCCTCCTCAAATTATTACGTGAGTAAGCCGAAAACATAATAATTTATTTAGTCCTGATATCATTTCAAGGGAAATAACGAATAATAAGTACTACATTTTAAATTAAGGGAAATAGGTATTTGGATAAACAGCTTGGTATATCAATATATTTGGTCATTGGGGGACGCCTATGTTCAGCAGTGGATGTCCTATGGCTGATATCATGATGATATACAGCTTGGTCACGTAAAATAATGGAGAAAAGCTCTACTAGTTTCTAGTTATAACGGGAGTCATAGGAGCTGCACGACACCAGTTTTGTATGTAGTTTTTTTATTATAGAAAGATTGCCTATTCCTGAACTTTACCTTCAATGAGGATTTTGGGGAAGGAAAATCATAGGAAACAAAAATTTAATAATGTTATGACTAAAGAAATACCTAATTATATTAAAAAGAAATATGCAAATCGTCAACTTCCTTTTAAATATAATTTCATGAAATATGCAAGTTTTCATTACGCAAAAATCACTTAATAATATTTTTGCAAAAACATGCATATATCTATTAGGAACAAAATTCTAAATTAATTGGCATATTTAGTTAAGAACATGAGAGTAAAAATAAAATATTTTCAGCATTAAAAGTTTCATATTCAAATCTCCGCGTAATATCCGAGTCGGCCTTGTAATTTCGAAACTAGACAATCTTATTCTGAAAAATTGTCAGATGAATATGCTAAGATGTTTTAAGAGTATTATTATATATTATGAAATATTACGTTCTGCAACATTTGACCAAGAAATTATACAGCTTATGACCGTCTTCAATTTACAAAAACTATTTTGACCTACAACTTTTGGGTACACGAACAATATTGGAATTTGACTAAATTATTATGACGTCATGTAATAAACATACTCGGCATAGCAACGGAAGGCAAGGTGAACTTATAGTATAATCATTATTTCTTAGTTATATTACAGTTTATTCAATTTTAGAAATCATATTCAATCATGTTTAATTAAAAATATATGGTATGATTAAAAGCACCAAATAAATATTTTTTTAAATTAAATAAATAATTTGTATTTCGGGAAATCCCCGGATGGTGACCCTACAATTGACCAATTGCAGGATCACGTCATAGATGAAGAATTTAAACTGAAACAATGCCATCTTTGAACGTGCTGCGTGCGTGATGCGAATTATATTGCTTGTGCGCAGTGTTATTCTACATAAATATACCACAAGCGACATTAGCCCTTAAACAAAGATGAATAAGTCTTATTTCTCATTGGCAAATGTAACTTTATTTTGGTGATGACATCGCTAATTTAAAAGAAAAAGATAATAATAAATACTTATAAGTACATTGTTGTAATATTGTTTGACGACGAAGTTAGGTAGAAACTCTAACCATATTTATTTATTAATATAACAATGCATACAATGCCTTTTTTTGGTTGCTTGAAAGTGCAAGATGCAAAACAAATTGTTATATTGGAAATGAAACCGAAAATCCTTTGCTTAACAACGGTGTTCATAGTCATAATAGTCCTTCTATCTTAATTTTCTTAAACCTAAAATTTTCTCACCTTGATTCCAAAGGTAGAAAACAATATCAAATCTCCTTTCCATTTGTCGTGTAGTCCAGCAAAGGATAGTCACGGACAGCTGCAATAGATAAGCTTCTTCGACGCCAACACATTTAAAACGTTTAAAGTAATTAAAGTAAATTGTCGTCCAATGATTCAATATGATATTTAAATTAATTGCCTAGATAAAAGCGTGGGGAATCGTTGCCGTCGCATGGGTTATATTAATTGCGTCATACGTTTTATTCTTAGTACAAGCATGTATAGAAATGTTTCACAGATTTTTCTATACTGGCAACATTTATACAGCAATGCATTTTTAAACTGGCAACACGATCATGTACTATTCCTTTTTTAATTCTTATTTGGGCAAACAATGACATTAAAACTTATGACCGGGTTAACAATAATTGTGTTTAATAGGCTCTATAGATGTCGCTGTTGCACAAAAAAGGTGTCAATTAATTTTAATGTTCTTGGACTCATTCTATTAAATATCTATTAAACATTATATTGGACGCGGGCCAAATGTCAGTTTCTTTTAATCACTACTTAATTTATATCAATTAAATTATTTATTACTTTATGTAGTAGTATGTATGTGACAGTACTTGTAGTTAATAATCAGTATGTGCATAAATTGGCTGGTTGCACAAGAGTCGCGGGCGGCGCCGGGCGACGGGTGAAGTTACGAGCGACCTGGCCACAACCACCTATGACCTGCGCGCGCGCCGCTAACGTACAGGTGGGGGCTTGCAAGTTAGGGTGGGTACTGATGATGTAGTAACCACTATTTCTTTAGATTTTCTAATTAACGTGTTATAAGTAGTTTAGTAGGGATGAACTAGTTTAGAGATTGGTGTTTACATGAAACTAGAAAAATAATTAAAACTAATGGATTATGGACATTTGTGTATAGTACAGTTTTGAGTTTTATTGAAATTGTCACTAACCAGCAAACAATACAGAGCCTTTCATTTCCACAAAGCAATATTTATTAAACGAAATAAAACCAAGGGAACAAAAGTCTCCTTAAAAAACAATAACAATAACATTTTAT